GAAGAGCAGGTTGCCGGAGGAGGGATGGCAGCGTTGAGGATGGTCGAGGAATCTGCGGTGGCGCGTCAAGGAGCCAGCCGGCGGGCCTCGCCTCGAGCTTCTAAACCCGGTCAGTTCAACAGGGCAGGCCCGCTCCAATCCCTCTTACCTTTTCTTTTCTTTTCTATTTTCTTTATTTTTCTTCCATCTTCTCTGTTTCTTTTATTTCTGAGGGAAATCTTCTCTGTTTCTTTCTTGGTTTTCATCCGTTTTCTTCGGGGTTTTTTCTGTTTTCACTATTTTTATTATTTTGCATTCGTTTTCTTTATTTTTTTCCCTTCATTTTCTTCTAAACATGTCTACATTTTTTTACACATTATACGTTTTTTAAATCTAAAAATTCTCGCATTAAAACCCTAAAAAAAGACTCATATATTGCAGGCTGGTCCGAACAAGTCCAGGGCCTGGCATGTCTTATGTGATGGCCTCCTTTGAGTGCACAAACAATTTCAAGACCAACGGAGTAACGGACCATGCATTTTCTTCACAAACCAGACACATTCCCTCTAAAAAAGCTAAATCCTCCCTCAGAGATGGTACGGTTTATACGCGGCCTCTAGTTAAGCTTTTGCGAAAATGCATTTAAAACTTTACCACACCCTATAGGGACCATATGAACACACTGGGCCAAGTAGTGTGGATTTCCGGCATCGTACGCGTAACAAGTTGAGCAAGAAGAAACAAAACTTACGATCTCCTCGGCTGCCACGTGCAATGGCCACATTGCCTCCAGCATATCAACCGCACAACATTAACGACGCTGATCTGGATGGCGTACCATTCATACTGATAACGACCTCACATTGCAATTTAATTTCGAAAATCTCAACGCAGAAATCAAAACATGAAAACAGTTCACGATTTTCGGTGCATGGTTTAAGATATTAAACATTTTTAATAAACGAATGTACGAAAAAAAGGAAAACTCTCAAGTTGCGACAGTGCGTCATTTGTTACAATCTGAAAAGACGAGAGTGACCTTTGCAAGATGTATCCTTAAT